TTGTTCATTGAAATCCATAGTCTGACATAATCGGTAGTATGGAGAACGAGTGTCAATATTGTCATGCTTTAAAGTACAAAGGTGAATCAGCTGGTTTATGCTGCGCATCTGGAAAAAACTCACTTCCACCGTTAAATCCACCAACGGAACCTTTGAAAACATTATTAGCTTGTACCGCATCTCAATTTGAAATTGTTTTTGCGGAAAATTCGTAAATTCAATTCTTGCTTTCAAATGACATCATTTGGAGCAACAAAAATTGTTCATAATAAGGATGGTCGTCAAGTGTTCAAGGTCAAGGCCACCAAATTGGTTCATTGCTTCCAATGCCTAATGTCGATCCAAAATTCTTACAAATTTACTTTATGGGTGATGAGGAGCAACAAACTCATACACGATGCTTATACAACCATATAAAGCAGATGGAGGAACGAGAAATTGTGGACATTTTGGAAACGTTCTTGCAAAACCATAACCAATTGATTCGATTGTTCAAGACTCTTTCCAACAGACTGCAAAACGACAACTACGCCATTGTTATTAAAGCAGACAAAGTGCCCTAAGGAGAGCGCGCAGGCACATATAATGTTCCAACTGTTAATGAAGTTGCAGTTGTTATGGCTGGTGACCCATGTGAACGTCGAGATATTCGCATACAACGCAGATTTAATACAATACAAATAATTCAAGACAATCATCGTTCTTACGACGCACTGCAATATCCGTTGATATTTTGGGAAGGGGAAGATAGATATCATTTAAATATTAAACAAAGGAATCCAACAACAGGCACAACTTATAGATTATTTTATAATTTTTTTTGAACCAATTATTTATGTTCATCTTATAAATAGTTTTATTTACAGGTGAAGAACTAATCAAGAAAGTTAGTGCGATGAACTTCTACGCATACCGGTTGATGATTCGTGAAATGAAGATAATAACATTCTCCGATGCAGACAGCTATTTCATCAGTACATTGTTGATATGCATGTAAAAATCGAAAGTGAGAGATTGCGTTATATAAAATTTAATCAAGCGAAACTTCGTTCTGAGGAGTACATTCATTTTCTTGACGCCATAATCGGTAACGTAGATGCAACGAATGATATCAACAACATCGGTACCGCATATATTCTGCAATCATCATGCATTGGTAGTCCGCGTCATATGCAAGAATATATTCAAGACGCCATGACTTAAGTACGCGCATACGGCCGACCAGATCTTTTTATCACATTTACGTGTAATCCAAACTGGGATGAAATTAAAAATTTGCTGTTATCAGGTCAAACATCGATGCATCGCCATGATATCATTGCACGTGTGTTCAAACGAAAATTGAAATCTCTGATGAAATTGATTACACATCACTCGGTATTTGGTGAAACACGATTTTGGCTTTATTCTGTTGAATGGCAAAAACGAGGTTTACCTCACGCGCATATTTTCATTTGGTTGGTGGACAAATTACGCCCAGAAGAAATTGACAAAATTATTTCAGCGGAAATTCCAAATCCGAATGTTGATCAAGAATTGTTTGACATTGGGACTACTAATATGATCCATGGTCCATGTGGTTCTCACAACATGATGTCACCATGTATGGATAATGGAAAATGTACGAAACGTTTTCCAAAACCATGTCAAACTAACACTATCACCAATATCGATGGTTATCCATCTTACCGTCGTAGAGATGTAGACAATGGCGGTCAATCATATGAATTGCTTTTATCAAACGGTGTAAGAGTTGACATCGATAATCGCTGGGTGGTTCCATACTCACCATTGCTGTGCAAAACCTATGAAGCACACATAAACGTTGAGTTATGCAGTTCGGTGAAGTCTATCAAGTACATTTGTAAGCACGTTCATAAGGGCAGTGATAAAGCTATATTTTCTGTTCAAAATGTAAATAAGAATGACGAAATAACACATTATCAAATGGGACGATACATAAGTAGTAATGAAGCTATTTGGCGAATTTTTACATTTCCTGTACATGAAAGGGATCCTGCTGTTGTACATTTGGCTGTGCATCTTGAAAATGGACAGCGTGTTTATTTCACAGAACAGAATGCACTACAACAAGCTTCAACAGCTCCAAAAACAACTCTTACTGAATTTTTCAACCTTTGTAATCGACAAGATATTGTTGGTGAATTTGCAAAGACATTAATGTATACTGATGTTCCTAAATTTCTTACATGGAATAAACAATCAAAAAGTTGGGAACCACGGAAACGAGGCACTCCAGTCCCAGGATTTGCCGACATATTTATGACAAATACTTTAGGACGATGTATACAGTTCATCCTAAGCAACGCGAATGCTTTTTTCTGCGTTTGTTATTGGTTAACGTTCCTGGACCGACATCCTTCCAATACTTGCGAAAAGTTAACGGTACTTTATACGGCACTTTCTTTGATGCGTGTCGTGAGTTACATTTATTAGAGGATGATAACCATTGGAACCTCACACTTGCAGATGCAGACAGAGCTCATCTCCACAGTAAATTTGTCAATTATTTTCAATAATATTGACAACGTGTTTTCCGTCTGAAACATCTGCTCTGTGGAATAAATATAAAGACTCAATGAGTGAGGATATTTTGCATCGGATTAGAATTACTAATCAAAATCTCAGTATTGAATTCTCCGCAGAAATATATAACGAGGCATTAATAATGATTGAGGATATTTGTATTCTTATTTCGAACATGCCGCTCATAAATTTTGGCATGCCAGCGCCAATCCGCCAAGCAGCAGATATCATCAACAGCGACGTTCAACGTGAACACCAGTTCGATATGACTTCTCTGGCTACTTTTGTTGCTAACAATGAACGATTGCTTATTGCTGAGCAACGAAATATATATGATCAAATTAACGTGTCAATTGCAGCACAACAAGGTGGATTCTTTTTCTGGATGCACCAGGTGGCACTGGTGAAACATTCCTCATCTCACTAATACTTGCGCGCATTCGATCTCAAAATCATAATGCATTGGCAATTACTTACATCAAGCATTGCAGCAACCTTACTTGGTGGAGGGACAGAGCATTCAGCACTTAAATTACCTTTGAATATTCATACCAATCCCGAAGCAATGTGTAACATGAAGAAGCATTCAGGCATGGCTGAAGTTTTGAGAAAATGTAAAATTATTATCTGGGATGAATGTACAATGGCCCACAAGCATTCGCTTGAAGCTCTCGACAGGTCCCTAAGAGATATCAAAGATAATACTCGGCTTTTTGGTGGTGCTCTACTGCTGCTGTCAGGTGATTTCAGACAAACATTACCCGTCATTCCACGTGCGACAAATGCGGACGAAATAAACGCATGTTTGAAAGAATCTTATCTGTGGCGAAGTGTCAGTAAATTATGCCTTACTCTTATTATGCGTGTTCAATCCATTCCATTAGCGTCAAGGTTCTCTGAACAACTGTTAGACATTGGCAATGGTAAAATTCAATTATATGAATATACACAATATATTCGACTCCCACAGAATTTTTGCAACATGGTGCCTACCAAAGAGGAGTTAATAAAAAGTATCTTTCCAGATTTGCACACATAATTATACAAATCATGTATGGCTACGCGAGCGAGCTATTTTAGCCGCAAAAAATTTAGATGTTGACGCAATCAATTTTAAAGAACAACAATCATTGTCTGGTAGTGAAGTTACATTCAAATCGATTGACACTGTTGTTGATCCTGATGAAGTTGTAAACTATCCTGCCGAGTTTTTAAATTCACTGGATTTACCTGGAATGCCACCCCATAATTTGCGATTGAAGATTGGTTCACCTATAATTTTGCTTAGAAATTTGAATGCTCCAAAATTGTGTAATGGCGCGCAACTGGTCATAAAAAAATCATAGGTAACATTTTGGAAAAAATCGTGGGCCACTATTTTAAGTAGAAAATTTTAAGGTGAAGTTGTACTTCTACCGCGGATCCCAATGATTCCTTCAGATTCGCCTATNACATCCCTGATACTATGGGTTACAATGAGCTCAAATACTTCAGTCGTGAAAGAATTATTCCTTCATTAGTTTTATTTACGGGCAGACAGGTAGCTATAATATTTCACATCCACTCTCCACAAGGGAGGGGGTGGACAAAACTCCGGATGGTTCCGGCACTTCTTACATGCACTTCTTACATCATAGACATGCATCCCACGGGCATTATCCCAGATGAAGGAGTGAAGTGTGCGCTTCGCGGACAGGTACTCCATATACAAACTCAGCCTAAGCCTAAGCTTGATTCAATCTTGGAATTCATGTTAAAAGATGAAGATTGGCATAGACGTAAGCTTATTCCCCACATTGGTGACTCGGACGTGATATGTAATCGTCTACATCGAAAGTTACTCCCACTTCTATTTAAGGTCTTCAATGGAACAGTTAAGTGTCGCTGTTGCTTCTCAAGCTCAGTTACCCGCAACGAAATTCTGCACACCCTCGAAATCTAATAGTAACCCAATAGAAAACACACACTCAACCGTGAACTTAATACAGCTCACACCACAAGCACTCAAATTCCGGTGAACTTAACACAGCTCTCCCGAGCCTTTCGCAGATACGTCCACTAATGGAATCCGATGATCTAATTTCATCCATGATAAAATTCTGTTGGGGGAGTATTGTGGCGTAACTACCACTGCAAATATTTAATATCAATTCACTAGTATATAAGGCATGCTAACTCGATTTAATCTAGATGTAACTTTTCATTGTTGAATGTTTACTTTGTCGGTATGACTCATCCCGCAAGTTAATTCCAGTTTATGGTGCAAAAATGTGCTTAAGGTTACTCGCTTTTCCGACCTACCGTTCAAAACCAGGACCATAATAATATCTAATTAATGAATTAGAACCATTGTTATTGAGAATTCAGCATATTTGCAAGTTATAATGGATCTTGAATATTTATGCAGATATGGGGTTGATCAACTTACTAGATACAGCTGGTTCATCATTTTCTCAGAGATAAGCATTTCTATTGCGACCTGCTGAAGCACTCCGTATAAATTATTTCAACTAATTTAAAACGTGACTTAATTTCTGAAATATATGTTGCGCAACATCTACAAAAAATTAATATAAAAGAAAGGCATTTTTTTATTAATATTTTGCTTACGACGATTAGCATGATGACCCATTCTGGTTCACTTATTGTTCCAGCTGTGAGCAAAGGGTTAAATAACAACAAAATTTTTAAGCGTGTAATAAAATAGCATTTTCATTTTATTGTCTCAAATTTAAATTAGAAAGAAAAAAAAACAATATATTTTTTTTTATAATTTATAGGTGTAACAATCATTTTATTCAAACTATTTTTTGTAAACTTTTAAAATATATATTTATTCTTAATCTATTGTGTCATATAATCTAAGTATAATGCAATTTAAAACAAAAACGAAAATCTTATACACTCAACAAAATATAATAAGTAAAACTTACCAAGCGTAAATGATGCATTGGAACTTTCTCAGATATGGAATATCATTGCTATTTTTGCCGTGCCATTTATCGAGATAAAATCCTCAGTTTCAAATGGGTTGCGACAAAGTTAAAACACACGAAAAGCGCTTTCTTATTTTATTTCATTTCCAATCTTACTTTCTCACCGTTTGATTTTTCTTTTCTTCCAAACTTCGTGAGAAAAATCATTATGAAAGGGTGCGTAACTTATTGCACACAATGATGACGACATGCATTTTCATTATGGTGGAATGTTTCTTATGGGTTTAAAATTGTTTTACAAGCAAAAAAAACCTTAACGTTTTTCTTTCTGGCGCACCTAAATTACGTTTTTACTAGTCTTCATTTCTTATTTTGGTTGCTTAATGCTCCATAGAACATTTGTTTCATAACTCTCAGCTTTCATGTTCAAATTATTCTTCGATGTAGCAGATTAAAAATAATCGCAAAATAAAGAAACTTATCATTCTCTGCATGCTTCATATCAATTGAAAAAGATGATTTGTAAAATAATTTTTCAGGAAAGGGAAATATATTTCCTAAGATTATTGTTTTTTTTTTATATACAATTTAGAGTTTTTGTTTCTACCTTCCTTTTGCAATCTCCGAAAAATGTTTTTACCTAATGACATATGTTTTTTTTTATATATATTTAGAGTGAAAACAATTTCTATCTAAAACGAATTGCTGCATCATTTAATTTTACTAGTACCACCTAACCACTTAATATGCATTTTCGTGAAAATTTAGTAATATTAGCAGCACAAATGGCACTTGACACTTTAAAACTAAAACTTTTCTTTAAAATTACGGTGGAAAAGATAAGTTATGTATAAATAAGGAAAATGTTTGCATTGTTTTTATGATAAGCATAAAATAATGAAGGCATCTAAGTTCAATACTAGAAAATTTAAAATTAGTGAAACTGAAAAATTATATTTCTAATGAGCTTGTATCTTTTTCTTTAGTAATTTTGAACAATAGTACAGGTAAATAATTGTTCAAATTTGTTTAAATTGATAAATAATTGGCACAAAATAAATAATAATAATTGTTGATATTATATTTAAGCCAAATTAAAATATATATACATATATA